GGGGTTGGGTGTGTGGAAAAAAGATAAATGAACTAGCAATGTCATGCTATAAAACTTGTTTTTCCTATTTTAATCAAGAAAGTCGTTTTTTTCATTTTTATTAAGGAACTTATTTTTCTTACAGAAAATACTTTTGACCAACCAAACATGAAAAATTTGAAAAATATATTTTCCTCCATACAAACACACATAGTATGAGTTTGAGGAGTATTGTTGAGCCCAAAAAAAAGTATAGATTTAGAATATTTTTAGATAAGTGAATGAAGGATATTTATGATTCATTTTTTATAAGTTAATCTCCTTCCGAATTTTTGTGGATAGAGTAAAGATCGTTTTAACAAGATTTGAGGTCTAAAATCAAATTTCATAAGAATAATAAATTAGGCTCAAGAGCTAATTGACAAATTGATATAATGATATTGAAATAGTTAAATTTGATAAGTTGATATATTGATATTAAAATATCATTGACTTGTTACAATGCTTGAAATTTGAAGAAGCTAAGTCACTAAAAAGCAAATTCGATCTTTTGTAAACATACAACAACAAATTTTATATAATGTAGAATGTTTGACCGTTTCAATCCTGCATTTTGAGGAAGAGGCCGCCAACCATAATATTTTGAGAGACTTCAAAATATTCAATAATAATTTAAAAAAATAATTGTGGAAGGATAATGAAAAAGGTAAATATATAAATAGTAATGTGAGTTCATGTTCATCGTCACAAAATAGATAGTCACGTAAAAAAAAATACTACAATTACTTAAAACTATTTCAAATCATTACTTTAGTGATCTTATAGTCGAACCGACCCCAATCAGAGTAAAGAGGGTGAGGGCAAAAAGGAAGGGGGGAGAAAAATGGATTTTTCAAAAGAAGATGGATACATAGATACAAATAGAGAAGGTTGAGAAGAAAAAGAATGTGGGGATAAGGTAGGGAAAAAGTGGAATGTCTTTTAGAGAAAAAGCAAGAGTGATTGAAGCTCGTGCGTGCCTCTTTTTTTCGAAGGAATATACAGCGTCTCGTCTTTGTCAACACCATGCTTTCTCTTATTACTCACTCTTTTCCTCCATTTTCTAGGGATTTTCACCTTAACCATCTCTTCTACCTCTACCAACGTCATGTCAGATACGAAGTCAGAATTTTTAATTTATATATTACGGTTGACATCATATATAATCATGTTTTTTAAAATTTAATTTTAATTTTGAATGTGCATGACTAGATATTTAAATTTGTAGAAGATTAAACAAATAAACACACGTATCTTACGCAGAGGCGAAGCCAGGATTAAGAATTTGGAGGTTCTAAATTTCGTTAATAATCGCCAATCAATTTTATTAGGAGTTCACAAATTAATATACACATATATTTAATTAATCTTCTAGTACAAATATAGGGTCTACAGAAAAGCTATTGAGTTTGTCCGAATCCATGAACCCCCACCTAGCTCCGCCTCTGGTCTTACGTGACGTAATACATGTAAAAGGTTGTCACATAGGATGCATGTGTTTATTTATACAATTTTATATAAGTTTAATTGTCTAATTAATGGTGTACACCCAAAATTAGAGAACATAGATGTCAACTGACGTTAAATTAAAGATCACATTTATATATTTATTATGCCTTTTTTTCTTACTGAGTCCTAAA